AAAATACCTAAATTGTTCTCGTTCCTTATGTAACCCCCTAGACCTGGCTTAGACATTATGATCAAATCTAGGCAGTCACATATCATATTCAGAAGTTCTTTTCATATTTAAAATAACGTTGAAATACATATATCAGTATAATATGAAACTACCATCAGTGAGATTCATACGATAATCATATATATACATATATCGGAAAAACCGTATAAAACATATACAAAACAAAATATCGATAATACAGATATATCAAAACAGTAGCAAAAACCGTGTCACCAAAGTATAACAAAAAAGGGCATATAAAGATATACAGTGGTACAAAAATGAGGAGTAGTCAGTCTTCCTAATGCCAAGTCTGCTAGTCTACTATCTGTTACTATCTGAAAAAGTTAAAATTTACAGAATAAGCTAAAAAGCTCAGTGTGCTCTTTGTGGTGTATAAAAACATACAGATAAAATACTTCAGTAAAAATCAGTTCATCAAACATATTTTAAAAATATGAACACTACCCCTATTTGATCACCATAATGTATAGGTTGCCCATAACCATACATCTACCTGTACATCCGGTAAAGGCCTTATACATATAGCATAAGGATCTACGGTAAGGACTTACCCTTTGCACAAAGAAGAGGAGTCTGAGGTAAGGTTTTACAACTCATAGACTAGGCATGAGATACTTCATCCAATAATACCCCCAATGGTTGTAATAAACATGTATGTAATCGAGTGAAAACGATAGTTTAATCCATTAAAACATGAAAATATTTCATATTCAGAAATCATATACATAAATACAATAATCATAGATCATATCAGAAATATACAGTAAATCAGATATTAGATAAACAATATTAAAAAAATCATGTGTCATGTCATAAAAATATCCAATATCATTAGAAATCTAAAACATATCAGATAGGTAGTTTAAAACAGTAATGTAACACCATCAGGAAACACATTTGTACCAAACGAAGTAGTATGACAAGAAAGCCTACTACTAGGTTTGCCGATCACAATCAGCGGAAGCGCTAGATCCTAAGAATCAGAAAATTTATGTCAGAATCCTAATATGAATAATAATAACCTCTATTTAAATAATTTGCGAAAACCTACGAGTAATTATCGAAGATACAGATCGTGCAGTTCTGACGGACGAGAAACACCGGATCTAATAAACCATCGGTCGGGAGAAACACGAGTACCTTCATAAAAATATATACTCGATTCAATTCCATAATCAAATCTCAAATAAATAAGCAAAAATGCTAAAAAAACTAAGCAGTTTCGAATTAACGGGCTCGATTCTAGGCTTTCGGGGTCAAAATTTGGTAAAACTGACCATAAAATCGGACTCAGGGCGTCGAAAAACGTCAAGATAAAGGTTTTTGGAAAAAGTCAACGGCGGTCATCGGTCAACAATCAACGGTCGATCAACAATTGACTCGGTTTGGTTCGGGCAGGACCGGTTTGGTTTGGTTCGGGCTAGATTGGACTGGTTTGGTTTGGTTGGGTCGGTTTGGGCTTGGGCCAACCGGTTTCTAGAAGCCCACAAGGCAGTGGACCTTTCCATGAGCAGCGGCGGCGCGTGCGGGGCTCCTAGGGCTAAAAAAAATTTTTGTAAAAATTCTATATGCATTTTAAGGGGTATTGAGACACTTACCAAGCTCGGTTCATAACGGTGAAAGGCGGAGAGCTCGATTTCACAATGTCGAAAACTTGACTTTCCTCACCCCTACACACGCCGAAGACAACTGAGACAAGATGGACACTGGTGAACACGAGACAACACAAGGAACATGATAGTATGAGAGGTGTCGAAAATGGAGTAACGGTCGATGACGAAACATCAATTAAAGATTTTCAACTAAAAGAGGAAAGGTTGAAGGGTGAGAGAAAAAAGGTTTGAACTTTCTAGAAATGGAAAGTTTCTGGTTTTGGTACTTTTAAACTCACATTTACGAAAAATGATATAATTTCACAATTGGTCCTTCAGTTTAAATTACTTTTTGAATTTGAATCCAAATTTAATCAAAATTTCATGTTGGTCCCAAATTTAGTTAAAATTTCAATTTAATCCCCAAAATTAATTTTAAGAAAATTTTAGGCCCTAAATTGGGGTGTGACAATGTGCCCATCTTAGAGATGTATTAAGTAATTGGAACTGCATTAGGTTTTCGTACCCGTGCAACATGGATATCAAGTTAGTCTTCATTTGTTACATTTTATGCGGGGATATGATGTAAAATCTTAGTTTAATTTGAAGAACAAAGAAATGAAGAAAAAAAAAATCTAAAACTCGAAGTCTTGAATCGAATTTTATGAATCCTAGAAACCACTTTATTAAATCAAAATGAGCCTTATCATAAACATTTGTTTCGGCTTTCAACATTGACGGCACATACAAGTTTGAGACTTGAACAAACCCCATAAATGGGTGCTCCAAATTTCCCAGTTTTCAATGCAAAGGTTATTACAATCATCTTGAGTGCAGCCAGATAACGGAAACGATTGCAGATCACAATCAGATGTCTGTCCCATCACCACCAAATTTCCTGTAACGTACGCATAATAACACACATGTAATTTAAAAATCTCACTGATGATTAATCAACCAATGAAGAAGAAGAAACCTAAAACTACAGCGTAGATTATGTAATCCTTATCAAAAGAAAGAAACATAACCAATATGACAAGTGTAGAGAAGGTGAATGAAGGGATCTTCATGGGTTCCAATTGTATGGTTTCTAGCAATTGGCAATGCTTTTGCTCGATGTGGTATCATCCAATTTGGATGTGTGGAATTTAAAAGAATTTTCTGGGTTCACAATTAAGGCATACAAGGGAAGATATCCATGCATTAATGGCATTGTATCTTTATCTCCGTTTTGGAAATTTTCCAAATGCTCAAATCTGAAACGGCAGCATAGATGATAAAACCATTTCATTGTGGTGATTTGATTAATTCTTTATTTGATTTGATCTTGTTTTTTAATTTTGCAACGTGAGAACAAGTTACCATAGTAACTGCAAATTGATGTAGTGTTGTTTTTATCATGATGAAGTCGTTCATGGATTGAGACAATTGTTTAAGTTTGAAAAATTATTTAATTAAAGTTGGATTAATATAAAAAATTGCTCAAATTATACTATTTTCCCCAAAGTGGTACCCAAACTTTTTTTTCGGTCAATTCGGGTACCTAACATTACAAACATTACCATTTTAGGTGTCTGGTCCGTAACGACCGTTAAAATATTCAGTTAAGTGACACGTGACACATTCATATAATTAAAAATTTGAAGAAAAAAACCCTCCTCGAACCTGTTACCACAGTCTGCTAAACAACCAATTACCACAATCGAACAAAGGGATCTAAGGGATTGGGTATTTGGGATTCAAATGTAGGGATTTGGGAATTTTGGGTTTTGAGATGATAGTAAAGGTTACGACCGGTAAGTGGGTGATCGGCGACGTATGGGTGGCCATTCCCCGACGGATGTGTAACCGAATATGACCGACGGTTAAAGTAAAGGGGACTAGAATAAGAGATTTTAAGAATTAAGGGTTATTTTTCAGATTTAAAATTTTTTAAGGTTTTTAATATTAATTTTATTTTTAAAAATAAATTTTCAAAAAAATATAATTGTGACATGTGTCACTTAACGGGATTATTTAACGGTTGTTACGGTCGAGACACCTAAAGTGGTAATGTTTGTAATGTTAGGTACTTAAATTGACCAAAAAAAGTTTTTCTACCGTTTTGAGAAAAACGGTATAATTTGGACAATTTTTTTATATTAAGCCATTAAAGTTTGATTAAAAAAGGGTTAATGTACCTTTTGGCCCAACTTTTTTCTGGGTGCAATTTGACCCCCCTGAATTTGGTTTCTGATTTGTAATTCGGTTCATGATTTTGACTTTGATATGCAATTTGACCTCTAATATTTTTAATATAGATTAAATATTTGGATTTATATTAAATTAAATTTTAAAATATAAATCTTTAACACTTTAGAGAACTTTTAATTTATAAAATAAATTGTAATCATCATTTTTAAATTGTATAAAAAATAATCAAGGGTCAAATTGCAACTTAAAGTGGTCAGTGGCCAAATTATAGTAAAAAAATGTCATGGGCAGATTACATATCAAAACTAAAAATCAGGAGCCGAAAATAACATTAATCCTAAAAAATACTTTTTACAGATCCGAATATTATAAATAATTTTATATATATATTTATATATTTTATTATTAAATTTGGAAAAAAAATATTTAGATTATGTACATCTAATGTAAAAAAAATATATGAATTAAACAATCTCAGTGGTTAAAGTAATTACTATTATCCTTAAAATTTTTCGGGTTCGAACATAACATATTTGAAGGTTGATTTTCAAATAGTTCAAATTCTTCAAAAGCAATGATATAAATGCATTCAAGGAGCCCATCAAAATAGGACCCAACTGTCCGAACTGCCTCAACTGACCTCCCCTTGGTTCATCCTGATAACCTTATTTTAACCAAATTCTAAAATGTTTTCTTTTTTAAAACGAGCTTAACCAATTATTTGCTTCAAGGGTTCCCTTGGACCAGACAGTTCTAAACAACCAGAAATGGTTGAGGGGTTGGCTGCATCCCTTCAAAGTTTTCTTACTGTTGCTTTTACATATCTATTTTACTATATAATAATTCAAACTCAACCAAACTGTGGTCCAGAAAAGAATATTGTTGGGTTAGGCAGCATAGCATCTGTTTACTTTGTTGCTTTAGATGTCATCTTACTTCCCTTTTCCATGAATCTATGGATCTATTTTAAGGTGTTCTTTTTGCGGTCAATTTGGCTACCAGGATAAGAATCAATAAACATGTATGAGCCGAGCAATTGTCGGTTCACTGCTTTTGGGTTATTGGTTGCTTTATTTCTTTTGCTTGGCAAAATAATTTTACTAGAGAGATTTAAATCATATACCTAAACTTACATGTGATCCTCGTTAAAAAGCTTCTCAATCATATACATCCAATAAAATTGAAACGAGACAGAGAAGATTTCCATGGCCCCTTCATAAGGATGACACGCACAAATCGAGAAAGTATTGGTTGCTTTATAGTGACATAAAAACAACTCTTCCCTTACTATATTGATTCTTTAACACCTTATTTTTTCAGGTTTAGAGGAGAAAATATCTTAGCCCTTTAATCAATACTTAATTTTAAGGCCTAATGAATGCTTTATGTTTGATTAGTCCCAAATAAAGGACAAACATGTCTACTTATCCCACAAAAGTACAACGATATTTTTCAAAATTTTCATTAAACAATCACTACATCAAAATGGGTTTTTAGCGGCGTTTTTTGAACAAACGCCGGTAAATACTAATATTGTAGTGGCGTTTTTATATAAATAACACCAAATATTGTACTTTAGTGGCTAGTGGTGTTTTTATATAAACGCCACTAAATATTGTACTTTAGTGGCGTTTTTGTACAAACGCCGCTAAAGACTCGCATTTTAGTGCCGTTTTGATATAAGCAACATTAAATATTGTACTTTAGTGGTGTTTTTTGAACAAACGCGAGTAAATACTCGTACTTTAGTGGTGTTTTTATATAAATGCAGCTAAATATTATACTTTAGTGGCGTTTTTGTACAAAAGCCGCTAAAGACTCATATTTTAGTGGCGTTTTTTACAAATGTCGGTAAATATTAGTTTTTTAGTGGCGTTTTAAGCCCAAACGCCGCTAAATATTATACTTTGGTGCTGAGGAAAAATTTGTTTTTGATAGACATTCGTGGTTGTTTTTGATGAAACACTGCAAAAGACTCTTACTTTAGGAAACACATCCCAAATACTAGTTCTTAGCTACGTTTTTATTGAATAGTATAAGGTGGTGTTTGTCGGTAAGCGCCATTATAGACCTGCAGTTTAGTGGCGTTTACGTAAAAAACACTGCTACTGAGCATTACTTTAATATACCGGGATCCAAATCCCTAATTTTATTCGAACACTCTTCTTTATTTCAACTCTTATCAGAAATCCGACTGTGCTTCACGCCGTCGTCGCCAGTCCAATCACCAACTGCCGACCATCAGGTATGTCGCCAATTTCTTCCCTTCCATATTAGAGTAATAAATTCATTTATTGATCTCAGTTGTTAGGGTTGTAAAGGTGCGAATTTGATTAGGTTTCGTCGTTGTTGATTTTTCATTCCATGTACAAGATATGAAACCGAAATAAGCTTTGTGTGATACTGTAAAATCTCTTGGTTCCCTTCTGTCTCTGGATGATGGGTCTTGACTGTCAAAGCTCGGCCTTGTATTTTGGTGTTGTAGCTTCTTTTAACCATCATTCATTCTGTAAATGTCCTAATAACATTTAATTCGTTTTACTAGTTATTGTTATCAATGCGTATGAACATGCACCCAAATGTGTAACATTGGTGTAAGTTTCCAGTAATCTATGTATATTGCTTACAAATAAGTAAAACTTGTGGAATCCTGCATTGGTTTTATGTGTTTTAATTTTGACCTCGCAATCATGTTTAAGTGATGCTGGATTTTGTTGTCTAGTGGGAAAACAACTTGTAAATCGCTTCAGTATCCGTACTACAGCCTTAGGACAAAGCTATCCTAGTGTATTCCCATTCAGCTGTTACTGAAAACTCGATCACTTTCAAAAAAACTTAGATCGTCTCCCAAGAAAATTTGTCCCCCCTTTGGATGTATCTCTTAGGAAAATAGTTTCTTACTTCCTCCTTTCTTCCAAACACCCCGTACATTAAATGCTCCACTGGAGCTTTGGCTGCTGCGAGGCTTGTTATCTAGTGACTCGGGTTCAGGGTTTGGTTCATAATCTTTTGGATCCAACAGAGATGCCATTGAACCATCACTAAGCCGTACTCGGTGAAATTTTGAAGTTTTCATTCGTTGCTTGCTGCTTCCAACCCCGGTCCCCTGGTCCAGTTTTAGCAGATGATGAGTCATTTTGATCCCAATTTTTTATAGAGGGTTTATTGGTAGAATTCCATTCATCATGCTGTTCATTAAAACTTAACCTTGAATTTCCATTAGCAGGGCGGTAATCATCCTTTGATAAAATTTCCACATGATCTTATGTTTCTGCGAATTTTAGACTTTTGGTGTTTTGGGAAGTATGGCTGATGATTTTGCATGTGATTAGTGAATTGGGCTCGAAAAACATTGAGCCATTATATTTTCAGTTACAAAACTGACGTGCATATGTTAATTTGTTTCGTGGCTTTATTTTTGAATCTGCAGATTATTTTCACAAATGTTGGCAACCCTCATGCTCTTGTACAAAAACCACTGACTTTCCCTCACCAGGTATATGTAAGTTCTATGTAGTTCAGTTTTCAACTATTGGAATTAATCTGTGTTTTGCTCATTCAGCTGTTAATAGCATAAAAGAAAATTTTTAAATAAATTAATGAACCTCCATCATCCGTATGTGTTGCTTTTCTCCAATGAATTCTTTTAGTTCAACAATATTGTAAAAAGAAAAATAAATTAATGAAAATTTTAAATATAAAGGAGTAAATTTATTGAATTGTTTCAAATTAAGATCAAATTAACATGATGTATAAGTATTAGGGATTAAAATTATTATTATATTAGATCATTCCATATAATATTTAATGAAATATGACAATTTTTTTCTAACAACATGCATCTGCCCATGGAAGTTGAATCTGAATCGCTCAAGTCTCTTGGCTTTACCAATTCTTCAGTTTTGCACAATGCTTCGCCTATGATTTAATAAGCTATAGGTTTCCATCCTCCATCACTTTTTTTAATGATCAATATCTTTTGTTGGAATATCCAAGGTGACTGAGATAGAAAACTTATTACTATTGCAAAGCAATTCGTTAAAGACCATAAACCTAATGTTGTCAGTTTCGTGGAACATAAAGTTAGCGGCCATCAAGCTAATAAAGTTATAGCGGTCATAGGCTTTACGAATTCTCATAGAATCGAAACTCAAGGTTTTGCTAGAGGTATATGCCTTTGTTGGTCATAGACAATAAAGTCGATATCATCCTCCACCACTTACAATTCCTTCACTTTTGTATCTTCAATCCCTCTCATGAATTCACTTTCCTAGCTACTATAGTGTACGTTAGTCCTAATTCCACTAAGTGTAAGATCATTTGGAACCATCTAAGGTCATTTTCCTCCTTCATCGACTGCCCTTGGATCTTTGGGGACTTTAACGCAACCCTCACCATTAATGATTGTAAAGGTTGCTCCTCTGCCCGTCCTTTGAAAGATTTCCAGCAATTCCTTATTGACTATGGGTTAAGCGACATTCAATGTGGGTTGGGTTACCTTACTTCTTTAACAACTCGAAACATTCAACAAGTCCAAGCAATGCTTGAACTTGTCTGTCGTAACTGGCTTGGTGAACATATCAGCGGCATTCTCATCAGTATGTACCTTCTGAAACAAAACCTCTCCAGATGCAACCAACTCTATGATCTTGTGAAAACGTACATCAATATGCTTAGTTCTAGCATGATATATCTGATTCATAACCAAGTGAATAGAACTTTGATTGTCGCAAAGCAACTGAACTCCACCTTGCTGAACACCCAACTCCTTCACTAAACCAGTGAGCCATAAAACTTCTTTTGCAGCTTCAGCCGCTGCCATGTATTCAGCTTCAGTTGTAGATAGTGCCACAACAGATTGAACAGTAGACTTCCAACAAATAGGTCCTCCACCAAGAGTAAAAACATACCCTATCGTAGATCTTCTATTATCCAAGTCACCTGCATAGTCTGAATCCACATATCCTACAACCAAAGGATTATCCCTCTGACTACCAAAAACAATTCCATGTCCCACAGTACCCTTTAAGTATCTAAAGATCCACTTGACTGCTTCCCAATGTTGCTTACCAGGTTTAGACATGTACTTACAAACTTGACTAACAACAAGAGCTAAATCAGGACGAGTACATACCATTGCATACATCAAGCAACCAACAACATTAGAATATGGAACCTTCACCATATCTTCAGCTTCCTTATCTGTCTTAGGGCACTGTTCTGGTGAGAGCTTAAAGTGGTTCGCCAATGGAGTGCTAACTAGTTTTACGCTGCTCATCCCATACCTTTCTAGCATTTTCTCAACATAACCCCGTTGAGATAGCCACAGTTTCCTTGAGTCTCTGTCCCTGTAAATTTCCATTCCAAGAATTTTCTTTCCAGCACCTAAATCTTTCATATCAAATTCCTGACTCAATAAGGTTTTCAAACCGATAACATCATCCATGCTCTTCGTAGTAATCAACATATCATCAACATACAGTAACAGAAAAATAAAAGAACCATCATCAAGGCTCTTAACATAGACACAAAAAGAACCATCATCAAGGCTCTTAACATAGACACAACAATCATACTCACATCGGTTCTAGTCAATCGTGATCATATAGGAGTCAAACCATTTATACCACTGTCTCAGAGACTGTTTCAACCCGTACAAAGATTTCTTCAATATGCAAACTAAATGCTCGTTTCCAGGTTAAGTGAAACCTTCAGGCTGCCACATGTAGATCTGCTCCTCTAAATCACCATGCAAAAAAAATAGTTTTAACATCAATCTGCTCTAAATGCAAATCCCAACTAGCCACCAATGCAAGTACTGCTCGGATTGAAGTGTGCCTGACCACAGGAGAAAAAACTTCATCATAATCAACTCATTTCTGCTGTGAAAAACCCTTTGCTACCAAGCGAGCCTTGAACTTCTCCCCCTCTTTTTCTGTTACTGTTGGTCTCTTCTTATACACCCATTTGCAACCAATCGGCTTCTTACCCTCAGGAAGAGGAACTAACTCCCATGTACGATTGTGATTCAAAGACTCCATCTCCTCAACCATGGAGCCATCCACTTGTCGTTTTCTTGACTAGTAACTGCATCATGAAAAGTAACCGGATCATCACTGCTAACAGTAAGTGCAAAAGAGACCAAGTCTTCAAAACCCAATCTGTTCGGAGGCTTTATATTCGTCCGTCTCACCCTGTCTCTGGCGAGACTATAATCCTGCAAATCATCCGTAGCGGAACCACCAGAAGTCGATTGAG